CGCGGCCTGCGCAGCTACGCGGCGCTGCCCGTGCGCGTGGTGGAGGATCACCAGGATGTGAGTGAGGGGGTAGAGGGGCCCTCCTCGGCGCGTTCGCGTGGGTGGGAAAACCGCCCCTCTGCTGCCCCTCTCCGCAGTGTCGAAGAGGTTGGTTCTGAGCCGCCCTTCCAGGTTTCTCCGGTTGTTTATTGTGGAACAAGCTTAGGCCTAGGTCCGAACTAAGCAAATTCTTCATGTGGAGGCATAAAAAGCACCCAGATTTCAGCAAGTGTTTCTAGGGCGTAAAGAGCTGTTAGAGGAAAAAACAAAGGCACAGGCATTAACTCTATTGGTGTTTTGCAGACCAAAATCACTAGTGTAATGTAGTTCATTGAGGTAAAGGTTGTTCTGGGCTCATCAGTGGATAACTGAATGACGATGAGCTCTGCCAGGACTGAAATAGTTGATGCTGTGGTAGTTGATTTTCCACAGTAACCAAGGATGAAGAGTGTTGCTCTGGTAGGAATACTGAGATAACCACTATTATTAATTCTATTATTAACGAATTCTATTTTATTTTCTATACTATTTTCTAAATTATGCTAACAAAGACTTTTCCTGCCAACCTATGTGCCATATTTTTAGTATATATGTGTACATACGTTGCCATTTTACCTGAAATGTACAAAATCTATTACCCCAAAACGTGAGAACTTCCCACAAACTGTGCGTAGCCCAGAGGAATTACTGAGGTTTCTGCGGAGGTGGATGAAACTAGATGCACCAGTGTTTGATTAATAATAACAGCTGTTGGGCAGTGAATTTTGTTCTTAATCCATAGCAATAGAACTTACCTCATAAGAGACTCTGGGTTCTTGTCTCCTTCCTCATCTCACTCAGTTTTCAGAATTTGCAGTAATAGTTATATGAGATTAGGCTAATTAAAGCTGTAAACATTGCTGGCTGTTCAGGTAGGCCAGACTCTTTGCTGGAGGTCATAGCTCAGAGAAACTTTGTTATTTTTAACTGTATTTTATCAGTTATTATACTAGTATTCATATCATTACGTAAGTAGTGGGTCAACTAAAAATTTATAACCAATTTGCTGAACTGCAATCCAGATTTCAACTATATGTCACTCGGCTTTTATGGTTATTTACATTCACTGTTCAGGATTTGAGTTCTTAATGTTGCTCTTAAAAGTAGCTTAATTTGTGTTCGAATATTAACATGTATCTCATATTGCCGGATCTCTTCATAGCCTTTGTGTTCCCTGTATAGCAAAAATCCGTGTCATTGCTAGATTTGTTCTGGCAGCTAAGGCAGCCGCTGGCCTGTAAGTGTGGGAGAAGCTGCATCTCCTGCAGCTCGGTATAAGAAGGATCATGAATCAGCCTTTGGTTGTCCCGCTTTACTACTTGGCATTATTACCTATCACTGGTTTGCTCCTTTATAAACTGGCACATCAACCTATCTTCTATTTTTTCCATCTTTTAGGTGGGCAGCTGGGGAAGGTAATCTCTTCATTGCCACTACTAAACTTTGTAGGGATTGGGAATTAATCTTTCTTCAAGGGAAATAGATTTAACGATCTGCTCAAGTTTAAATGGTAGCAAGGTCAGTTTTCACCCCATATCAGTTAACATTGCTGTTAATTGTGTTCAAAAGTTTGTGTCTCCACAGCCCCCATGCGTTGGTTGTGAGCAACTTTGTAGATAGAAAAGTGGTATGAGAGAGAATCTGCAAAAGAGAGGCATTTGGGAGATAAATTAAAAGAGGAAAAAACAACTGGGCATGGTGTTAGATTATTAGTGAGAAGAGCCACTACAAACAAGACTTCCTAGGCAGAAGAGAAGAGAGTAAAGCTATGATTCTGTGCCAGCTTATCATGTGTGCAACTCCAGGGCTCATAGAGATTCACAGCTGGTGGATTGGTTTGCTGTTAGAGTTGTATCCCCATGAACTGTCCTACTGTTGACGTTGTATCCCTTGGTGTTGTTTTCAGTGTACTCCTCTCTCTCCCAATAAATAATCTAGATTCAAAAGAAGCAAAGAGGAGCGGGGCAGATATTTTTGCTGTTAACGTCATTGCATTTTTCAGCTAACTGGTTATGACTGAAATACTTTTGTTCACGTTGTTTTAGGTTCTGCCTTTCATCTATCGTGCTATTGGCTCAAAGCATCTTCCTGCCAGCAACATCAGCTTTGTCCATCTTGATTCTCATCCAGACCTCCTTATTCCTGTGAATATGCCAGCAGACACCGTATTTGACAAAGAAGCTCTTTTTAGGTAAAGCCTATGTAATGCATCAGAACTATGTAACTATGTAATGCATCAGAATGCATAAAGGCCACTTATTTGCTACATTTGATTTACAGTCAATATTTGTTTAACTTTTTATATAGTGAGCATGAACACAAGAGGCTTAGGGAGCCCCAGGGAGAATCTTCCCTCTTTTCACTTTTCCTGGACACTTCTTTTAATTTATGATTTTTTTTTGGTGTGTGTGGGGTGGAGAAGTTATATTTGTGCTTTATGAATGCAGTCAAATGTTTATACTACATATCAAGAATATTTGAGACTTGCAAATTTATTTTAGCTGTTCTGGAGGATATCATGTTGCAAGGCCACCTTGTTTTTCTGGATAACAGGTCAGCAATCTTAGTGCTGATCCTTTTCATCTGGAGAGTTACAAGTTTAGAACAGCCTTTCTATCCTCAATCTGTAAAATCTGCTTCAAGGTTGCAATAGCATCATCTACAGTGATGTGCTGAATGTGTGAAGTTGAACAAGATTTTCTCAATAGTATAATTAGGACCAATATTTTACCCCAACTCTTAAGCAGGCAACAAGGCACAGAGTGACCCATATTGTTTTCTTTCTTCCTGTTTTACAGTAGCTATTGACTACTTTGATTACTGTGGTGATTCACAGCAGTGACAGGCTGATGTAATCAGTATCTAAGTAATTGTACCGTGCTACCCATAGGTCAGTCTCTTATTTTGGGAGCTTTTGGAGGGGTATTGTACACCTGCAGAAATAGGTTATTGATAATATAGAGCGATTTTATTCTGTAGGTGCTGATCAATTCATTTTCACAACTGAGATTATATTTAAAATATGTTTAGACCAGTTCACAACAAAACACTCATTTGAGGTCAGTTCAGAGCTGTCTAGATTAGTGTTAATGATGGTCCTTGTCCTTTCTATCTTGATGTGCCAGACAGAGGAAATGTGCAACTAATCTATGTAGTTTGTAGTCAAAGTAGCCTATTAAGAACAAAACTGACAATGTCCTTTTTTCATTCTACTACAGACACTTCGGGTCTTCTTCTTATAACATTTTGGGTCTTCTTATGACTCGAGCTTTCCCTTTTTAACTTTTTTTGGCAATGTAAACTGTACACATTATTCTAACTTCAGGTGTTTCGTGTGTGTACTTTCAAGATCTGGAACATGTTTGTGGTGCTCTTGAGAGGCTGTACAGGGAGGCTAACAGTGTAACCTCTAGTCTTTCTCCGTTCATTCCAGTGAATTAAGTATTGAGAACTGGATTATGCCTGCAGTTTATGCTGGCCATATTTCTCAAGTAATATGGCTTCACCCCCCCTGGGCTCAGCAGATCTCAGAAGGAAAACATGACTTTTTAATTGGGAAAGACATATCAACAACAACAATCAGGTAAACTGCCTCCTGCCATATGCTAGTAAAGTAAAAGCTCTGTTTATGACTTTTCACATATTAAATTTTATATTCTTGGACATATAGTGAAAAATATGCCTTTTCTCAGTACAACTGTAATATGTAGTTGTGAGTTCTTTAGGACCTAACCTGACATGTTTATTCATGTGGATAAACACAGTTAATATCTTGTCTTAATGTTCTAGCTGCTCACACTTCATTTCATCTAGTCAAGATTTAGATTTATTCGTTATAGTCAAAATCCCAGAAAGCTGCTTTTACAGAGGATCTGTGTAACCAAGGACAGTAATTAGATCCTCCTCAAGTTTCCCTTCTGAAGAAAAAAGCCCAGTTCTCTCAGCTTCCCTTTGATCATCATGTGTTCAGCCCTCTAATCATTTTAGCAGCTCTGCTTTGGACTTTTCCCAATTTGTTGACATCTATAATGTCCTTGGGGAACCCAGATCTGGTCAGAGTAATTTAAATGTGTGTAGCTGACACTGAGTAAAGGGAAGTAATCTCCTCTCTTGACCTTTTGGCTGTATTTTTGTAAATACCCCCAGGTTGCTCTTGAACATCTTAGTCCAGCCAATTTTTCACCCACACTATACAAATAGTACATATCAAGTATTATATGATCATATGATAATTGATATTAAACACTTAAAATGAGGAAAATAATACATCCTCAATGATGCGTCCATTATTTTCTCTATCAGTTAAAACAGACTTATTGGCAAGATTTCTTTCTTTCTTTACCGCTCAAACATAAATTGCAAGATTCTAACCTAATGCGTACTACAGTCAAAAATAAGATAGAATTAAGTGAATTAAGTTGCCTGGATAAAAGTAGTTGGAAATTAAAGGAGGGGGGGTGCTACTAAATTTTACAAAATTCATCATAAGTATTTCTGCTACTCTATTTCGTAGTACTCTTCTAAAGAAAGCTTTGTTTGTTTGTTTTGTAATGCTCTGGATAAGAGTCACATCATGTTTAGACTAACTGAGGAAAAAATCCCTAACTTTGCTTTAATTTCAGATGCTGCAGCTGAATTCTTGTTTTCAGGCAGTGAGCTTACATGGTTAAATGGAGTGTGACTGACTGAGGTCCATTCAGTGGAGATGCAACAAAACAGATTAGGGAGAAAGCAAAGGGTAGCTTTTTAATAGGTAACTGTCCTATTTGGCACATTTAAGTTCAGAGTTTGTCATGTTGTTATGACAGAACTGGGCATTTCATGAACATAAGGGATTTTTGTTTGTTTGGGTTTTTTTTTTTTTTTGTGGATGGGAGAAGGCAATTCAGCTTGAGTCCATTCAGCCCTGAGTTTTGCTGACAAGGCTTTTGTTTGTTTCCAGTTGTCACTGTGGTTTTCTAGTGTGAGTGTTGTTTTTTCAAATTAGTCTACTAGTTAATCATTGGAACCTCCAAGACAGGTGGTGAAATCTCCACCATTTGAGATAGCTAAAGCTAATCTAGCTAGAGACCTTGAGTGTCCTTCCCAATCTTACTGTTTTTGTGATTCTAATTTCAATGAGCCTTCCCCCCACAATTCCATTTTATTTAGTGAATGGCAACTTTGCATTCACGTATTGTGATTTTGTACACCTTGAATGAATCCTTAAAAATCTTTCTGGCAGAACAAATCTTTTGAAGCAAGTTAAACAGAATACAATGAAAAAATAATTTGCTTTACAATCTGAATAAAACATAAAAGTCCTACAGTTGTGAATCTATGCTCTGAATTAAATTCAAATGATAATGCAAAAGATTTCACTTTTAGTAACATTTAACCATCAGAATTAAAACACCTCCAGAAATGTGCTGCTTGATGATTGAATAGCTCTCCCACAGATCCTGTGGTTGCTTTAGAAACTTTGAAATCAATGTTTCGAGCCGTCTTTTAAAGATGGCTTCAGATTCTAGGGTTACAAAAATCATGAAGGAGTCGGAAATCTGAACCCCCTAAAAGTCATGTTAACAGCAGGTGGCTGGATAGGTGATAGGTATCTAAGTTAATGCCTCACAGAGGGTAAGACTGTGGCATGAACTCATTTATATTGAACACCAGAGAATCTCTGAGGAGAGGGTCAGTGAATTCCCAATCAACAAGATGAAGCCATGATCCAGGCTCTCCCTTAGCAGTCTCAGGATAATCCAGCCACAAGACACTGAGGCTCCAAATTTCTGCTATTCATGAAACAGCCTGTCTCTATAATCAGATGAGGCCTGATCAGGTGAGCAGAAGTTGATGCTTCATCTTAAAGTTACTTTTTTTTTTCTTTTAAGATGAATGTATGACACTTAAGGCATAATGTACAGAAATAGAGCTTAAAATATTCTTTAAATTTTTGCATAAGTGGGATTTCTAGTGCTTTTTAAATTCAGTAGTTTCTATGAATATGTACCTATTCATCCTTGAATTGGTTACCTGTCTGCCCTACATATTAGACAGGAAACTCTGTCAGTGGTAAAATGCTGCTTATTAATTTGTAACATTTTACTTTAGTTGCATGTTCATAGGTTACAGGGCACTTCTCAAACAACTATAAGCATTTTACTAGAAAAAGAAGGTAGTAGATGTAAAATGTCCATGTCTTACGGTCTTATATTTTATAATGTAGACAGTATCTTGTTGTTTATGTTGTCTCTGCATGCTCCTAAAAGATGAATTTGTCATTGAATTGTATTTTAATGTAAAATATTATCCATTGGAAACCTTGTACAGCTATCATCAAAAGTGTAAAATAAATTTTAACATATCGATTCAGCAATAAGAAGTAGAGGAAAAAATGCATTTTCAATTCAAGCACCTGCAGATTAAAATAATCATGTGTACACAGTTTTATTCCCCTTTTTTTTAACCTATCAGACATCTATTGTTTTTTTCCTTCAGGATGTCATAATTGTAAAAACTTATTTCTAAGCACTTTACAAAGATATATATTAACTTTGAGTTATTCTTAATTGTAGGGTTACGGGTACAGATTATTACTTTCTCAGTGATGGTCTTTACGTCCCTGCTGATCAACTGGAAAATGAGAAGCCTTTAAGTTTACATGTCATCCTCATTAATCCTACTGAAGCATTGAACAATCAAGAAGAAAATGGCAAAGCAGCATCTGCTAAGAGAGTGAAGCTAAGTACAGATGATACAGCAAGCACTGCTTCTGCCTCTTCATCAGAGATTCCTGGTGACCTTGATCACAGCTCCTCAAGTGTGAATAACAAGGGAATACAAAATACAAGCACACAAAATGGGACAGAAACTTTGTCAGAGGGCTCAGCTTCATGCTCTCTTAGAAACAGTGAATGCCCAATAAGGGAAGCTGTTAAAGATATATGCCAAGCCCTACAGAAAGGGGATGCGTATGTTTTAGACATTGACTTAGATTTTTTTTCTGTTAAAAATCCGTTCAAAGAAATATACACGCAGGTAAGCATGAAGATGGACAATCTTCTTATTTCTAATGGAACAAATGCTAGAAGGACAGTGATATATGTGAAGAAACTCTCATGTAAGCTAAATCTATCAAATCAGCCATTCATGGTTAATGAATCATGGCAAATCTTTGGAAGAGAGACCCTCTTAAGATAGTGCATGCTGCAGGGAAGTACTGCAAGCTGATAGGAGTAGACCTTAAATTTGAAATAGATGTTGGGTGCTTGTTCAAGGCCAGAGTTTCAAAACAGGTTTTTTCAGTGATGATGTGTGTCGTACTCCCAGCAGGGGTTATCAAGGAGGGATGGCAGATTTTCTGTCTTTCTCCTGCCTGCTCTTGGAATACCACAATGGTATCATAGGACCTTACCTCTCAAAAAGGCATGGAGTTGCTGGATGTCCAAATAGTGGTAACTTATCTCTGTGAGATGCTAGGAGTCTCTGTTCTGCTGTGTTTGTACTGTGTGAAACAGTGAGCAAGTGCCTGTCATCTGTGATTTTTTTTTGCCCTGAGAATTGGGTGGAATGCTCAGGTTTACAAATTCTTCTCTGATATCCTGGCTGTTTCTAGCAATTAGATCTTATTTATTTTGAATAAATTATTCAAAATTTAATTATTGTTATAATGAGGAACATTGTTTTAGCCTTGACCTGTGCTGGAGAGCATCTAGCTTATCTGAGTTTCAGCTAGAGTACTGCTTTCTTGCCCACTGTATTGAAGTGAGTGTAGTGTTTCTGGCCTGTATTGGCTTATAGAATATGGTATTTGTGAGAACAGTAATGTCAGACATCTGCAAAGCCGCATTTTTTATATCACAACAAGTGTGATATAAATATGCAACATATATATAGATATATTATGAAGGGGAAACACCGTGGGGGTCTTGCTTTAGGAGAATTATATCCACTATCCAGTTAGGACTTAAAATACATTTTGGGTAAAATAATGGATTTCTTTTTTGTTATGGTAGGTTCTCAGTTCTAGGAAACACTTTTAGCATTGGGCTTGTACAGTGTCCCAGTGTGCCTTTTTTGGCATAACTGTGAACCTACAATTGTAACAGGATAATTCCACTAGGAAGTGTTTCCTAATTTAGCAATTGGAAGATAAGAATCCAAGGAAAAGGTAAAAATTAAATATGGTTTATCAATTCAGATGGTTATTGTATTCCCACCAAAAAAGCCCCCAAATCAAAAACATTACTGTAAAGATGCTTTATATTTCTGTAAAATTCATTAGTCTCTTAGTCTGCCTTTTTGTTCCCTGTGCTGAAAACTTCATAAGTGCTTAGCATTTTAATGCCGTTTAGTAAAGAGTGAGATCTGTTTATCTTTGATCAGTGCAGTAAAATGCGCGTTCGATTTCAAGCGTCCAATTAATCTCAACAGCAAAACCCTAAATACTTCATTGTTAAAGCTGTGTTAATGAAGTCAGATTTATCATTTAACAGTAGCCAGGTGTTTGACTCAGGCCGGGGAATATTGTTTCCTCAAGCCTCAGATTCTTTGCCACCTGCATTTGCAGAATTGTCTGCAATAGGGAAGTAGATTAACTATCTTGGTAAAACAGTTATTTTCCTTGAAGATGGAAAGTAGTAAGGATTGTTGGTTTTTTTTCACATGAAGAGTAATTTTTTTTCTCTTTTCTTCAAGAGAGAATATGAGCTTTTGCAAGAGTTGTACAGTTTTAAGAAGCCTCATAGGAATGCGACAGAGGTACAGTGTTTCTTTGTGGGATGTATGAGGGAATGATGCTTTTTGTTACTCAATAATAGTGATTTATGTCAAAGAAAGAACTTATGAGAGGTGCTTAATGAAGTGGTCTGTAATTAAGCCATACAGCTTATGCTGAATGCTAATCAGCAGCACCCTGGGAATTCTTGCTAAATAAACGCTTTGATTAGTGTATGAACTGCATAGGTATTTTAGCATGAATGTGAAATTTAATATGTGTAAACAAGTGGTAATTAACAAGGAAAAGGTGAAAACCTAACAAGTCATCTGTAGTCTCTTCCTCTTTATGGCTCCGCAGGATATTCTTTCAGGCCTCCCTCTCCTTAGTTGCTCTTCTTTAAAGCAGCTGTGCTAAATGGCTAATTGGTATTACACGTGTTTGTTTAGATGTAGACAGGCAAATATTGTACCACTGTAATGGACTTTTGTTTCTATGTGATTCTGAGCCCTGAAATCATAAACTTGTTAGCTGCCAAAATACAGTCATTCAACCCCGATCTAAAGCTTGGACACAGCCACTGTAATGGTGATTACACCAAACAATTTCCAAACAAGGTTTTGTCTCATCTCTAGTGGTTTTACCTGAAGATGATTACATGCAGATTCAACACATACCAATATCACCAATTAGTAAGTATTAGCCTCTAGGTACAAAGAAGTTGAGACGTGTGGAAGCTTATCTTAAGTTGACTTTCATGCTTCTCAGTCATCGTGATACCGGAGTACATATTTAAAAAATAGTTAAATGTGGAAGGTGCAAGTCTTGTGATTAATTTTCTGTTGTGATTTCAGGGCAGCCAAAATAGTTAGCAGAAAGTGAGTGATGGGTAGCTATAAAATCGAACAAGGTAAAAAGAAATTCATGGATGATTTTGTAGTTAAGCAGTCAATATATAGGAGAATGAACAGAGATAGAAAGCTAGCAAACGTTATGTTTTCCAAAGATGCCTGACATCTCCTGAGTGTCTATTATTTTAAGATTCTGGACTGATAATCTTAAATAGTTGTAGGGTACCACTGGGTGTGTATTTCTACCATACTAAACAGCAAGATAATAGATTTTTGGTTTGGGTTTTTTTTTTTTTTTTTTTTTTTTTAAGTAGTATAGAGGGTGGTTAGACATACATTTTTAATATTAGTTACCGGTGCGGCTTTGAAAAAAGGCCTTATTTTTAGCCCAAGATAAGTTGATACTCTCAGCTCCTCTCAAAGATTATCCCTTAGCTGACTTTACTGGCCAAAGCAGCATCTGACATATGATAAGCACAGCAGGCTCAGGAGAGGGGATCGCTCTGTTATCCATATAGTCCGATGTACTTTTGAATAACTTTCCTTTACGCACCACTGCACTGAGTATCTTTTATACTAATTATGCCAAGCATTCCTTTTCATTTGATCTGTTATGTAGAATCTACTTCTGCAAATATTTGCATGTACAACTTATATGCATGCAGATTACTCCGCTTATTCCTATTGGAATTGCTCCATCATGTTTGCTGAACTTCTTAAGAAAGTGCATAAATCTTTGCCAGATCAGAACCTTGAAACACCAAATATCTGATTTGATTTAACAATGCCCATTATTTTTTAATTTAAAAAATCCACATTTTTTCTAACAATGTAAAGCAAACATTCATCTGAGTCTTTGTATATTTATATAAAATTCAACAAATACTGCAGCTTTTCAAGACTTTACAAACAAATCCAGCAGTTAGTCAAACGCAGTTTCTTAGCTTTCCCCAGTTTATTCCATTGAAATGTAGATGTAACAGCTTACTTTGTGGTAGGAAAGAAAGACCAAAGGAAAAAAAAATGTTCTGTAGTCATTCATGCTGATCCTCTTGAAAAGATACTCCACAACAATGAACAGTTGTGTCTGTTTCTTCACCTCCTCAATCCTTTCAGGATTTTATAGACTAAGTTGATTGAGCTAAAAACAAAACAGCATTTTTATTTTGTTTATTCATTTGTAGCATATTTGTGTTTAAAGGAGGGCTTAGTGGATTGTGTCGAAAACCGTGTTCATCAGCTGGAAGATCTGGAAGCAGCATTTGCAGACTTGTGTGACAGTGATGATGAAGAGACACTACAGAAATGGGCTTCATATCCTGGGTAGGAGCTCCCTAATTGGTGTTAAACCCTCTTCTACTGAAACCTTTTCCCTGCTAATATGGGTAGCTTTTAATTCTCCTGTGGAATGCATTACATTAATACTTTCTTTCATTTTTTATCCAAGATTGAGTTTTCTACTGCAAAACAGAAACAAGTTATCAGTGCCAGTAAGGTTTCTCTCCTTTTTGGGGAGCCTTTCTGGAGCCCAGTGTACAAGGCTCTCATCCCTGGACTAGCACAGCAGCAGTGCAGCAAGAGACATCCAGACTCGTCAGAGTCAGCAATGCAGACAGGGATACAGCTCTGGAAAAAAAGTATGTCACCAGAAGAAGACTGAGTAAAAGAACTATTGTGCACTGTACGCTAAGTTAAAAAGATGTGATTTCTTCCTAATCAGTTTCCTCAAAAAATATGCAATACTTAATATCTATATATTTCATTTTTCAATAGAAAAAGTGTAACTAAGTCTAAGTGGGTATGTGTTCACAACATACTGTTTTGTCATAACTTTTAAGGGCAGAAGTGCCTGCTGTATCATTTAGTTTATGTGGGATATGCCTCTGTGGGACACCCAAGAATTTCTGAATCCAGTCTCTTTTCCTTATTTCTACACTGCAAACAATAGCTTAAAAACTGATTAGCCCAGCACTGTCCTAACAGAAAAGGAGGGATGCTGGATAGGATCTTTGTAAGACTACTGCTTTTCCTGTGATTGTAAAGGAGAATGAGCCAGGCAAAGCAAACAAAGGAAAACCAAGTCTGCTGTCCTCATTGTCATGGTAAACTTTCCGAGGTGGACCTTGCGCAGCATGGTGCAAGTTCTGTTCTCTGTGGCCAGAGGCAGGTTTGGTGACTCAACACTTAGCGGCCTGTATAGAGTAGAACACTCAGATTCTAGGAGGACATGGAAAAGGACAATGTGAAATAAATGCTTCTGTGCTGCTCTTCCCTGTTCCTGCCTGACCTCATGAGGAATGAATCCTGCAACCCTGTGAGAACAGCACCTGGTTAGAACATACACGTTGTGCCTGAGATCTGAGTAATGGTGTCAAGAATGCATCTCTGCCACATCTGTTACAACTAACATTTTTAGCTAAAAATAAACTGAGCACATGATCCCATGATAGTAAAGTCACTCATTTTCCCCACGAAATGCAGCAGTTACTGTCATTGCTGCACAGGTCAGACGGAAAGTGTTTCTTGTCTAGTTGATCCAACTTGGAGCTTCTTCAGGGCTGCCTGGAGGATCTGCAAGAAGGGCTTGATTGAGACAGCTGCCAGTGTGGAGGCTCTCTGATAAAGACCTGGTGAAGCTGCACAATAGCACTGCTGCTTTCCGTTTTCTTTAGGTGCAAGATGGTGTTGAGGGAAAGGATTATTTTCAAGTTTTAGGCCCTGATGCTTGTTTTCAGAAACTTTTGCCTTTGCTTCTGGGAACTGATGGTTAAATCTGAGTGTTTGCAACTGTTTACATAAAGGATTTTGTTTTTAACTGCAGAATGAAGCCACTTCTTCAACTCGTTCACAGTCTGAAAACCAGGATGGAGAGCCCAGACTATGAAATGGTAGGTCACTAGGCAGGGGAGCACAGCTTTTAAAAGCATAGCCTCAACATGGAGAGGAAAAGCCTGTGTTGTTGCTTAGACTTGCTTCTTGATTCTTTGTTGGGGTTTGGTGGTTTTACTTCAGTTTATTATTCATATCCTGTTACTTAGGCCAACCTTTTTTATTTAAGCTTCTAAAGTTCTGCTTTGTCTGTTTAGGCAGCATTAGTATGATCTTTCAGGGTTGTAAAATCTCAAGGTGCTTTCTGTAAAGTAAGGCTTTATTTAACCTAGGTCTCCTGCTATGGCTTACAGAATTTAAGATAAGGTACCTATTTCTGAAAGATCAGACATAGCATCTTCAAGGACTGCAGCAAATTCTGAATTGATAGAAGAGTTACATTTTAATGGAGATAACTGAAAATATCATACAAATATATACAACCTAAAAAAATCATTAAAAATGTTTGAACATGTATCAATTACTGGACTAGAGAAAGTAACTTACAGTGGCACAGACACGTTGTGTCAGTAACTAGTCAAATGAAATTAAAATCATTAAAATATTTATTAAATGTTTAATTTACATATAGGTCCATCAGGCTGGTCTCACCTGCGATTATATTGAGCTTCCCCACCATGTTAGCACTGAAGAGGAGATAGAAGGCCTCATAAGATCCATTAAAGTTCTGCTAAAAAATATGCCTAAACCAACACTTGTAACAGTTGCTCGGTAAGAATATTTGCATGTTTTCATTTTAAATCACTTAGACTGTGCTTGTAAGGCAAACCAACTCAATGAATATAACATTAGTTGAATTATCATAAACTGTTGTAAAGTGTGCTGTTCATACTGACACATCTCCACTGTTTTTATTTTTTGAGCTAGTTAGAACAAAGCTGGCTTGGGCAAGCCTGCATGGGCTGAAATTACTCCATACTCCTTGTCTAGGATTGATTGGAGATAGGATTTCTCTTTTTAGTGAAGCTTTGATGGAAGGGGAAAGGGTTAAATGGGTTTGGTATTGTAGAAAACTCTAATAAAGCCTTACATAGAAAACATTTGTGTTCTCAGCACTGTAAGGGAATTATTATTTGGGAGAAGAGGATGGAGTTCAAGACAGGGGAGAGATGTACTTCCAAGACTACAGTGTATCTGTTGACAAATCATTGTAATTTGTCGCTTGAAAAATACTGAGTGTGCCTTTAAAGTGCAATAGCAGCATCTTACATGGGACTGGCTAAAAGAAATAACATGACTAATACCTAAAGTAAAACAACATTAAAAAGACGTACTCCTTGCACCTGCTACAGGGATATCGGCCACTGTTACATAAATGATCCAATATTTCCTCTGTAAGTCTTTAAAAAAATGTGAAATCCAAGAAGTCAGTTTTTAACAGTTTCTGTTTGCAGTTCATTCATAGTTACTGTAAAAAAAAAAAGATATGAAAGTGATCACAGATTTTTTTTTCAAGTTTTCTCTTTCAGTTTTACTAGTAGCAGATGAATTCAAGCTAACTTTTCACCAGTGCTATAGTTAAAGAATTTGCTTGAATTTTGACTGCCAAGTTTTATGTCAGAGTCGTAAAGAGAGCAGAACTTGAGGAATGAATAGGTCACATTTCTGATTTTCTGCAAACTTTCTGTTCAACTTTAAGCAAACTCTTACCTTTTCTAGTAGTGAGGGTGAACACTGTAGCCTGCCTTGAAGAGGCCCTGAGAGGCAGAACTCGCTGAAACTTGAAAGTTAATTCAAGCCCCTAGATACAAAGCATTACAAGAATATAAAAGGTGGTTATGATGTTTGTTCTCCCTCACACTTTCTTCAAATTCTTGTTACAGATCCAGTGTGGATGACTATTGCCCTTCAGAGCAGGTTGATGTCATTCAGGAGAAGGTTCTCGATTTGCTACGTTCAGTGTATGGCGCTCTGGATGTGCACTTAGATTACTCAAGCAGTTCATCTTTCGTGTGACCTTTCTCCACCTATTGCCCCAGTGGATTCGTTTAAACTGTTCACTAGCTATGGTTGGAAGGGGAAGACATTTCAGCAAGAAACACTAGAAGCCAAGCTGACCAAGGGCTAGTTCTAAGTTGCATTGCTTTGTGCAGGTCAGCTGTGTTTGAACTGTCATCTGTGCTTGTCACCATTAATTGTGATTATTATTTTTAACTGTTTTATTTATTATAATTAGTGGAGAGAGATTTTTTTGTCCATAAAATCTATTTTTTCACCTGATGTCCTTAGGTCTCTGTAAAAATGAAAACTTTAAAAAGTAAATGGATTTCTTTTATGTGATTCACTTTTTTAATAGAGGTTTTTGAAATATATTGCACATAAAACAGATGTTTTCCTGGGTTATGCATGGTGTCTGCTTTTTTTTTTTTTTTTTTAACCATTTTTAAATCCATTAAGACATTAGGCTCACAGTGACTTGCATAGTGACTTTTGCTAACTGCAGTGCTGGAGAGGATGAGGTGTTCTCCTCTCCTTTCTTTGGAGCAGTTTATAGCTTCCTGCTTTATCCACTGAGTAGCATCTGAGTAGCATTTATGTTTGTACTCAATTGCATATTGTCTTTTTTTGCCTCGGAACTTCATTGGTGATTCAGGCAATATCCCTACTGTACAGTGCTGGGTATTGGTATTTTTTAAGGTCAGGTAGTCCTGCTTGTGTAATGTTGTTGCAGTAAATGATGCACTCTGCTGGGTATGGATGCTCTGCTAGTAGGGATTGTGTTAGCTGCAGAATCAGAGTCTGTTTCTGTCTGGGCTGTTGGGGCTCGGATCAGTGTGCCCAACTCGAGGAGCTGCAGCTCACCTGCTGGAGCTTCTTCTAGTCCATCGTGGAGCTCCTGGGCACATCTGCACTGCAAGGCGTAAGCACAGCCCATGGGATTTGCTCTGATTCTGACATGGTTAAAACAGAAGTAGCCAAAATTGTTGGTACATTGAATCAAAATTCAGGGGAGGAGACAGGCCCCACAAAACCATGCTCAGCATGACAAGCAGGACTAGGTTACAAGTGAAGCTTAGCACTTTTTTTCCAGAGGGAAGTTAGAACTAGGGGCATGGGGCATGAGGCTGATTAGATGATAGTTTTGGGCTCTGTGCGCTGCTATTGCCAAGAAATTATGTCTTTGGCGTCTTAGGTGGCAATAGCCAGATGTGTTGCACACAGAAAGGTCTTACTAAAATACCAAGCCAGTTTTTGCCTCTGTCTTCAAGAAAATAAAGCCCCATAGTCTTTCTAACTGCCTTTCCAACCTTTCAGCGAATTTGTCTCCGTACCTCCTTTTCTAAGCCGGATATAGTTGGTGGAATAGCAAGTATCCTAAAGTAGTATGTAGACAAATTACATATGGAAGTATTAATGTATTAAATCTGAAGATACTTCAAAAAAATCCTTTGGGTATCTCAGGCACTGTTTGCAATATGTAATTTAATTTTCTTTAAAAAAAAAAACTTTTCAGTGTTCAGTGCTGCAAATTGTTCTGAAAAAGGTGACAAGCTTTCATTAAAAAAAAGAGTGGAGGGGATGGTTAGCATGATTTCAGGATGTCAGACTTAAAATGACATTCAACCACTAGCACTTGATTTTAATTTTCAAGTATTAATTTCTGTGAAGAAATATTTTAAATAGAATCAATTTTTTGACAGAGGGGAAGCCATAAGCCATATCTAATTTATAAGCCATATCTAATTTTAAGTCTTTTATTGCAATGAATTACAGTAGAATTTAGGTAGGTGGCATTTGCAGTCACCTGGTTGTTACCTCCCTTCTGCATATGAAATTGTCATTTTAAGTTAGTCGATGACATAATCCTTCTTTAGGCATTCATGCACTGATGTCAAGCTGACTAAAGCAGGAGAGTAAACTAGTTGTGCTTATTTGAGGAAAACTAACCCAATTTTCACTTTAGTTGCTAGGACAGAATGGCGCACTTGGATCATGCAGTTTGATAACCTCTGTAAGACAGGTCACTCTTCAAAGTAGTTTTTCATGTGAGTGAGTGGGTAGTTACTGAAAGTGGTACTGGCTCAGAGATCTTCCTCCCTCCCTCTCTCTCTTCCGCCAAAAAAGCTTCCAGTGAAAGCTTTCTTCCTGCCTGGAAAAAATAGCTCAATAGGAAGCCCAAGGCCTGCTGGTCTTCTTCTTTCTTAGTTTTTCTTACTGCATTTTTTTCATAGCGTAGTCATGCTATTCCCTGCCTATAGCTTTCGTCTTGGAAATGTATACTGACCAAGAGACATGGATGCTGGTTTTTGTAGGAAAAAGAAAAAAAAAGTTTTTTGTAGGCATCTCAATTTAGAGCATTCACTGCCTTACATACTTTTACCTCAAGTGCAGCCTTGATGGGACAGAACCTCTACTACTTGCCTGTTTCAACCAGAAGTGACTTCTAGAAGCAAGAGAGGAATCTTTTACAGTGATTCTGCAAAATCAGAAGTAGATGCTTCAAAAGCTTTTGATGTCTCTTTACCTTCACAACGTAACTAACTCGAGGCAGCAGCAGGAGGTCTCTGTTGCTCTTGGAGGGAGTCCCATACACGTGTGTCCTGTCCCAGGTGCAAGCACTGCCTGAGGCAGAGCCTTCACTAACATAATGGCAGCAATTGCTGTGTCTCCCACTAGATGGAGAGCGAACTGCGCTGCTGCCTGCTGTTTCCTCTTGTTTCCTTCTGCTTGGAAGGCTGCAAATACCTTTCCAGCTTCACAGTGTGATTAAACTGTGTTCATCCCTGGCAAAGAGAAGGACAACAGGTTAACTGGCCTTTTTAACCTTTTATACAATTTCCAGCCACAAAGAACTCGCCTCGCAAAGAGTGTTTGCTCTAAAATGTACCGTGCAGATGAAATAGGATAACTCCCCACAAGTTCCAAAAATGAAAATAATGGAAAATTAACTTGAGTGTGGGACCAAATGTGACCATGTTTTAAAGAAAATCTTTTTTTATGTGTTTTCTAAATGTGAACATGCATAAACATTTTGATAGCTTAGCACTGCAAGGGTGAAAGGCCTAGTGCAAATTTTCAGTTTAAACATATATACATACATGTATGCATATATACATGTGGTTTTACATATATAAGCTGAGTTTTAAGTTTCTAAAGATACAGGCTGATATGCAAGTGGAGAATTGATGTAATTCTTAAAAATTGGATTCTACCACAATAGCTCTTCAACATATTTTCTGAAAATCTGTAGAACAAAGCGTAAGTTTTTTACTTGTCTGGCTAGGCTATTTTAAATTTCTTACTTTCCCTGTGTGTTTCACTGTGAAAGGCAGAAATTATTGATTTCAGACTATGAAAGTCAAACTCATATTTGCATCAGTATGAAATGCCTGTCTGTCTTGTTCTCCCTTCCTTGCTGCTCTCCCTGTGGAGATGCTGGCAGTTCCTTATCCAGCATTTCTCTGTAGACCCAAGATGCAGCCACCGTGGTCTGTAAAAGGAGGGATGGATCTTGGTGCCAAGGATCCAGGACCAAAGTGCGTGCAGGCGAAACATGACTTCATGCCCAGCATCTGAGTAAAGTCACAGAGGCCTTCCAGGCACATGTTGTTAAAATTGGGAGTCTTCAATCAAGATGCAAAGCTGCTCCAAATCCCCAGTGCTGTTTTAATCTTCTAAACAAGAGACATTTGTTCTAAACTCTAAGGGGCTACAGTCGCCCTATGTGGAATGGAAGGAGTACCCTTGCACACATCCCTCAGTGAGGTGAGAGGTGACCAACTCCGCAGTCACCTGGGAAACTACCTAGGAAACTGGAGTCCTACCTACGCACGATTTTGTGCTTATGAGATAGGAAACAAAAGTGGAGAAAAAGTGCAATTGTGGATACAATGCCACAGGAAAAAAAAAGTAATAGTTACTCATTATTCCTGTATTTGTTTCACAAATAAAATATTTGAAAATGATGATACATAGAATTTAGCAGGGAAATCCCAATTTCCATTGAGGATACATCAAGAAGAGTGCTGTTCTGGGCACCGCAAGTCATCTTTGCTCCTTGCTCCTCCTAGCCTCCTGGGTGATGAGAAATGGGGCGCTGCGAGGAATTGCTCACCCAGCAGCTCTGCTGTCAGCAAACAGCATCCAGCAACCTCTCTTCAAGAGACCTTCTTGTGGGCAAATCGGCAACCCATCTTTTCCTCTTGGGTAGCTGCAGTGATTTTCTCTCTCAAAAGACCCCATTAAAGCCCTCACCACTACTCTGGGAGCAGAAGCACATGCTTCCGTGCCCGTGTCACAGGGAAAGCGATGATGGTGCCCTTGCAAAACTCGCTCATGCTGGCTCTGCCACCTACCAGCCCCTCTACTGTCCCTGAAGCTGACCAGAACATTTCTTTCAGACTCTTCTGTTGGGACTCAGGTGTCCTAGGACAGCCCCTGACATAATGCATCCTCCTTTAAACTGAGGCTGTGACCAATGTGACTTCTCCTCACGCTCCTGCAGGCCTGTCTCCTGCAGGAGCAGTTTCCAAGTCAGCCTGGTGCTGTGGCTGCAGTCCCACCACACACTTGGTCTAGCCCTTTTCTGAAACTCAGCCACAAGAAACAAATCCTCTTCTTCACAATTCCTTTTATCATCCAGTTCCATATGTAGCTTTAGGGGGCACTACTCCAACCCAGTCTCCTTGCACCCCACTCCCTTAGCTCAGAATGGAAGAGGAAATAATGATCTTGGAGAGTCTTGCTAACAGGCTCTCCCTCTTCTCAGGCCACCCAGCCAAAGGATATGCTCCTGCCTGGCACTGGGCCTACCTGCTACAGTTCAGACAGCCCTGGAAATAACAGCTGAAGCCGCAGTCCCTACCAGGCACACTTCCCTCTTCCCAATTTCACATTTCGTCACCGCTCACATTCGCTACAGCTTCCGTTGTTCCCCCAGTCCTTTAGCCACCTGTTCTTTCTGGCACTCTTCTGCGTACCCTTCTGGCACCCTTTTCTTCTTTCTGGGAAGCCAG